GTGTGGGCTGTCTTTTCAAATAAAGGGAGCAAGATGTGCCAGAGTTTAGCAGGGTGTCAGGGACGAAGGAAAGGCTTTCTGTGCTTTTTCGTTTGTTTGTTCTTGCTTTTGTTTTTTTGTTCCAATATGGTGATTGATCCTACTGACATTCCAAGTAGGAGCTAGAGGGCAGAGAGGGAGTAACTGAGGCAGCTTCATGCTCCAGGAGCTGGGAGCAGACAGGAAAGGGCCACAGCACAAGTAAGGGCCAGGAGAGGGAACACAGGTGGGCATGAGCACAGGTAAGGATGGGGGCAGGGTGGGGGGAGGTTACACCTGGTAGCCTTGAGCTTTCTGTGAGGAACTGGGTGAGCTTCACTGCGGCAGTGACCGGGGTCTGAAGGCTTGAGGAATTGCTGAAGAACTTCTGTGCATCTTTGGGTTTTGGATTCTCTAGAGTGTAGCATTGTGTTGGTGGGAAGCCAGGAATCACACCACACCACGTACAGTAAACACCTCTCTCCCGAGTCGCTGGTCACACACGCTGACTTCAGGGAGAGACTTACATCTGCCTGGGGCTAAATCAAAGGTCAGATGGCCTCCCCCTTCCTTCTCCTCGAATTCCCGAAACAGCCTGTGAGAAAAGCTGTTGGGAAGCTCCACAAGGCACCTGCCACTCAGCAGCTAGACCCCCAGGGACATCGTCCTGGTCAGTTCAGAGGGTAGCTGTCCACACGGTCTGCCCACAGCCCTGGTCCCTGGAACAAGCGTGTTCTGTTTGAAATGTCCCCTTAAGAGGCTCATGGGGAAGATGCTCCAGCCTTTGCCCTTTACCACCGGATGGCCTCCATCTTCCCCACGGGGCTGTGAGAAGTCCTCTGCACAGGGCAGGAGGTCAGGCCTGGCCGAGGGGTCAGAGGCTTTCGTGTCATGGAGATGGTCTACTGGGCATGCGGGCATTAGTGCTGGGGACCTGGGCCAGCTCACTGGTCACACACTTTGACACCAGAAGCCAAAGAGGTGCTGGTCCTACCCCACAGGAGAAGGTGCCGGAGCCCTCACCCAGGCCCCATTCCAGCATCCTTTACAGGGTGATGTTCCCACATGGGGAGAAAAACTGAGCAGCAATCCATCAAACATACATTTCTGTTAACTTCGTAAACACTAAAGGAAACGTATTCCTTTTTTTGTTTGATTGTTTCCTAACTGGTATATTTGGTGAATTGGCTGTTTAGCAAATCTCCTCTCGGGTAAATGTGCTGCTGGAGAATTGACCTTGAGCCCACACACTATGTCCAGTTGACGTGTATTCAGGACAGGAAAGTTCTTTCCAAGTAATGCATGTGTTTGTCTCTTGGTTTCACGGTTTCCCCCCTATTAACTTTGTTCTGTCAACGACCTCGGTAGGTGTTTTGAGCTGGGCCATCCATCTGGCATCTTTCAGAGTGTGTCAAAGACATCAAAAACTCATCTGATTGCTATACATCTGAAACTAACACAACCTTGTAAAAGTCAACTATATCTCAATAAAAATTAAAACAAACAAACAAACAAAAAACTCATCTGAACAACCCCTGAGCAGCTCAGTTTGTTAAGGTCACCTACTTAGTTGTCACCTGAGGGCCAGTTTCTCCATTCAGCCCATTGTTGGTTCATAGATTAGAGAATCAGGAACTGGGAGAAAATATGAGGACTCCAAGGAATCATGGAGAAACTCAGACGTGTGACAGAGAATGGGATATTGTGGCTGCAGGAAATGGACGATTCATGTTGAAAATGGTGAAATGCGCAGATTAACACTGAGAGGAGATTGGGAAGAAGGGGGTTTATTATTTTTAAACTGTCTTCAGTTTCATTGTAGACTGCTGGTATTTTAGCTAACTTGCTCTGCAGAACCAATCTCAGTGTCCAGAACCCAAAGGTCTTTATTCGGAGCTTGTTTCCGCCACACCCTTCCTAAGTCTCAGCACCCACCCGAGCAGAACTTGAACCCACACCCCGTGTGTCCTGCCCTCAGAACCACATGCCTGGGCCCTGCTCCCAGGGGTCACGGGGACCCTGGGGATAAGGCTTGTCACAGGCAGAGGTGGCTTCACCTCTTGTTGCACAGTTAACCAATACCACAGTGAGTAAGAGACAGAAACATCAAAAAATAAAACCCACAAAATACCCTTCACTAAGCCCCCGCTGTTTACACGACTCTTCCCAAGTGTGTCACCAGGGGCCTGTGTCTGCACAGGAAGCACCAATCACGGGAAGGCTACTGGGGCTCCAGCATCCTTGCCTTGACTCTGATGTGGATTCTCTGAACCACCACCTCTCCGAACTAGAGCATTTCCAGGGACCATGTCCTGCGCGATTGTATTTAATAAGCTCACCACCTAATCGCACACGGAAGGCCAAGAAGACACAGCAGAGTGGCCGATCTGAAGGCCGCTGGAGCAGAAGGCCTCAGGCACTTCCGAACAAGGACATCACCCTGACCGTAACTGACTGGCCGGGGACCTGACCTGACCCACAGGCCCCCAGAAGGGGAGGCAACACAACCCGGATCCTTAGGAGACTTCCTTTCCCAGCAGTAACTGGAGGTTACCTGGGCGTGTTTCCCTTTCACGGTGTGAAATGACTAGAGGAACATGGAAAATAAAGAGGAAAGGTGTCAGGAGGGCATCCCCCGTAGACAAGGAAGGTAGGAATTTCTGCAAAACCACCCGAGCTCTGCCTGGACGGAGGGAGGGGCTGACCCACGCAAGGGTCTCCCTGGAGGGCTGGGTTCCCCTCCCCTCTGACTGATCTGCGATTCTATATACATATCGAATGGGAGGGTCCAAGCTGTCACTGAAAATAAAAGTACATCAACTATACTTGAATAAAAAAAATAAATAAAATTAAAAAATAAAAGTGACAACAGCTGGGCTGCCTGGAGAGGCCGTGATCCCCAGAGCAAAGGCCAGTTGGGCTCTGTCGCTGAGAGCCTGTGGTCCTGGGCCCCGCGTGCAGCCTCCAGGCCACGGCTGAAGCAGAGGGAGGGGACGAGTGGCGGGGCAGGCCCGATCAGCACGTGGACGCTGGCCAAGGTCAGCTCTGGGCCCCAGTCCTGGGGTTGCGGGGGGCTGAGTCAGGGCCCTAGACACCAGCGGGGAGAAAGCGCCTTCATAATGAAAAGCCTGGGTGCGGGGGGTGACCTGCAGCCCAAGGCAGAGCGGAGGGAGTCCACAGAGGGGCAGCAGGAAGCCTCGCGGTCCTGATCCAGACGCCTCCCCGCCATTGAGAGAGGCGCCGGGCTCCACTGAACTTGTTCCACTCAACAGTTTGTCGCTTTGTGTGGACTCTGCTCTGTTGTCGGGACCCAGAGACTCTCCCACCGCTGCTCCTTCTGTCTCCACTGGGGTCCGTCTTTCTCTCTGTGTCCTCCCTCCAGGGTGGCCTCCTCCTAGGCCCATGGCTTTAAATACTGGGGCAGCTGAGTAATGATCCCTCCACCCCAAAAACGTTGTATGTCCTGGTTCTTAGAACCTGGGACTATGTCTCCTTACAGGGCAAGAGGGACTCTGCAGGTGTGATTACGTTAAGGGTTGTGAGATGGTGATGGGATTAGCTGGGTGGGCTCAGCGTGATCGTGAGATCCTTCTAGGCAAAACAGGAGGGCAGGAGAGTCAGAGAGATGTGACGACAGAAGCAGAGGTCAGAAAGACAGAGACTGGAAGACGGCAGGCTGACGGCCTCGAAGAGGCAGGAGGGGCAGAAGCCAAGGAGCGTGGGCGCCTCGAGACGCCGGCAGAGGCAAGGGACCCTCCGGAAGGCAGGCGGCCCCGCCCACACCTCGACTCCTGGACTCCAGAGCCGCGAGGGATTTGTGTGCTTTAAGCCACTGAGTCTGGAATGATTCCAGCAGCCACGGCATCCGTAGGTGGATGCGCCCTCAGTCCTGTCTCTGCCGGGTTCCGGCCCCGTGTGTGTGGGGCTTCCCTGGCCACTTCGTGTCTAACAGGCAACCCAGTGTCAACAGGTCTGACCCGTGTCCTGGTTTCCTCCACACCTGTTCCACCCTCGCCTTCCCCGGGTGAGGTGACGACACCTCCATGCCCCAGTTACTCAGGCCATGGCTCTGGAGTGACCCTGACCTTGACGCCTCCCATACTCCACACCCCACATCCAACCCGTGGGCAAACTTGCAGGTGCCCCCTTCAAAGCACCGTAGCCCACCGCCTGCAGAGCAGAAGCTGGGTCTTGTTACTCCCCTGCCCGAAGGCCTGCAGCCACGCGGGGAAAGGCCCAAGTCCTGCCCGGGTCCTCAGCCTCCCGACGGTCTGCTCCCCATCATGGCTCTAACCTCCTCTCGGTGCTCCGCCACCAGGGGCCTTTCAGGCATTTCCTTGGCTACCTCCCCCACTAAGTCTTTATACAATGTCTCCTTCGCAATAGGCCTACCAACCCACAAAAGTCACCAAGACAACGGGGAGCCCGGGGGACAGCTAAGCCTTGGAGGTCTGGTGGAGGAATATGCAATGGCAGAGGGGGAGTTAAGTAACGCCGGGTGGGTTTTAGCTCAGCCCACGGGGAGAGACATGCAAAATGGCGCTGGGGCCTCCATGGTGAGGATGAGGTGCCCCCAACACTGCTGGGAAGAGGCCTTTGTCCTAAATGCCTTTGCTCCCAGCTTCTGGGTGTTTCAGGCCAGCGTCAAGGCTTTCCCTATTCATCACCTTTAGCTCTTTTATTCGTGCAATGCCGGGCCCCAAGCATCACCCCACTTAGGAGAGAATGTCACCCTGGGGTTGGATCAAGTTGAACTAAAACCATTCAGGGAATATCTGGCTCAGGAGGAAAGTCAGATCTCCTTGCTTTAATTAGGAAGAAACTTAATTAAAGTTTCTTAAGGCCAGAAAGCAGAATGTTTCCCAGCACCCGGCTTCCAGCCAGTGTCCTCTACCCGAGCTCCTGCTGTCTGTCCACTCAGGTGACAGCCCCTCCGGAGGCCGCCAGGGCTGCACGGCGGGGGCCCAGCCACACACACTCACTCTAGTCTCTCCTCTTCTTTCCTTCGAAGGTCAAAGTCCCGTTGAACCACTTCCCAGACGTGCTTGGCCTCTTCATCCGTGAGCGTGGAAAGATCCAGTTTTTTCCCCATCTCTGCTTCTCGTCAGGGTCACACCTGCAATAACACAGGACCACAGTGTTCAGCCCAGGAAGCCTGCGTGCAGATGCCGGCCAATTCACAAAGAAGAGGCAACACAGACAGTGCTGATTTCCCAGCAGTTGGAACCTGGGTTAAATGGTTTTAGAAAGCAGGCAAATGGGTGTCTGGAAATGTGTGCAGTCGAAATAAACGAACCCATGTGTACAATCCCCACACCCCAGGAGTCAGGCTTCAGATGACGTTATGCCCTTTCCGACACTGAAGACCCCAATCAATGCCAAGAGGACAAAGGAAGGAAAATCCGAAAGTCAAAAAAGCAAGAGGAGAGCTTTACCACCTTGCTCGCTATGCAGAGTGTGCTCTGCAGACCAGCAGCATCTCCCAGAGCCTGTGAGACATGCAGACTCCCAGGCCCTGCCCCAGCCCTCCTGACTCAGAATCTGCATCCTAACAAGATCTTCTGATGACACCTCCTCCTGTCTCTCCCTCCCCCATCATGCCTGCCCCTTGAGTATTTCTTCACCCCTAACAGCTGGTGACATCACATATCGCGATGATAGCGACTTTTCCCTGGCACGTGGGGGTGCTTTTCTGTGCTCCCACCTCTCTGGTCTTCGTCAGGCCATACAGGGGCCCCTTGGCCAGGGGCTGTGGCCACTACACCCAGTCCAGCTCTGCTCTGGGGGAAGATTCTGTTTGGGTGACAGGTTCCCTGTGGGCAACCGAGAGTTCAAGAACCTCTGGGCGACTTCAGCCACTCTTCACTGAGGACTGAAATCTGCTTTTTAGGAACATCAGAGAAGGGATCCAATCTGTCTGCTCTCACTGGGAAACCTTAACACCAATCGAAAGACCCAATTTTGCTTCTGAATTCTGGGGAACTTCTCCCTTTCATCAGTGCTGATCAGCCGAAAGTACTCTCTGCAGAAATGTGAACACAACTTGCTCTGTTAGAAAACTGCCTTGCTGTACAAGAGGTTAGTTATGAAAAGTGCCATTTTCTGAGAAACACTCGATGCCAGCTAAAATGGAGATGTCCACAGAGATCCCATGGCTGTCAACTAAACTGTTTCCTGGCTTGTGCCTTAAAATCGGTGAAAAATAATTTCTTAAATTTTTTGCACCGACCCCTCAGTATCTCCACCCTCAAGCACCGTGCTGATTGTGAATGATGCATTAAGAGGATGCCCTGAGGTGCCAGAATCATTCAAACTATTTTCATTACGGTTGACTTTAGATTTTGGACATGAAAACATTAAACCAAGACTGATTCCTGATGCTTCTCTAGAGCACACAGTTTCCGTTTTTAAAAAAACTGGAACAAAAAGTCATTTGATGGGGCTTCCCTGGTGGCGCAGTGGTTCAGAGTCCGCCTGCCGATGCAGGGGACGCAGGTTCGTGCCCCGGTCCGGGAAGATCCTACATGCCGTGGAGCGGCTGTGCCCGTGAGCCACAGCCTCTGAGCCTGCGCTTCCGGAGCCTGTGCTCCGCAACGGGAGAGGCCACAGCAGCGAGAGGCCCGTGTATGGCAAAAAAAAAA